CATCACTGCTACCCATAGACTCATCACTGCTACCCATAGACTCAGCACTGCTACCCATAGACTCAACACTGCCATAGACTCAGCACTGCTACCCATAGACTCAGCACTGCTACCCATAGACTCAGCACTGCTACCCATAGACTCAGCACTGCTACCCATAGACTCAGCACTGCCATAGACTCAGCACTGCTACCCATAGACTCAGCACTGCTACCCATAGACTCAGCACTGCTACCCATAGACTCAGCACTGCTACCCATAGACTCAACACTGCTACCCATAGCCTCAGCACTGCTACCCATAGGCTCAGCGCTGCTACCCATAGACTCAGCACTGCTACCCATAGACTCAGCACTGCCATAGACTCATCACTGCTACCCATAGACTCAGCACTGCTACCCAAAGACTCATCACTGCTACCCATAGACTCATCACTGCTACCCATAGACTCAACACTGCTACCCATAGACTCAGCACTGCTACCCATAGACTCAACACTGCCATAGACTCAGCACTGCTACCCATAGACTCAGCACTGCTACCCATAGACTCAACACTGCTACCCATAGACTCAGCACTGCTACCCATAGACTCATCACTGCTACCCATAGACTCAGCACTGCTACCCATAGACTCAACACTGCTACCCATAGACTCAGCACTGCCACCCATAGACTCAACACTGCCATAGACTCAGCACTGCTACCCATAGACTCAGCACTGCCATAGACTCATCACTGCTACCCATAGACTCAGCACTGCTATCCATAGACTCAGCACTGCTACCTATAGACTCAGCACTGCTACCCATAGACTCAGCACTGCTACCCATAGACTCAGCACTGCTACCCATAGACTCAGCACTGCTACCCATAGACTCAGCACTGCTACCCATAGACTCAGCACTGCTACCCATAGACTCAACACTGCTACCCATAGCCTCAGCACTGCTACCCATAGGCTCAGCGCTGCTACCCATAGACTCAGCACTGCTACCCATAGACTCAGCACTGCCATAGACTCATCACTGCTACCCATAGACTCAGCACTGCTACCCAAAGACTCATCACTGCTACCCATAGACTCATCACTGCTACCCATAGACTCAGCACTGCTACCCATAGACTCAACACTGCCATAGACTCAGCACTGCTACCCATAGACTCAGCACTGCTACCCATAGACTCAGCACTGCTACCCATAGACTCAGCACTGCTACCCATAGACTCAGCACTGCCATAGACTCATCACTGCTACCCATAGACTCAACACTGCCATAGACTCAGCACTGCCATAGACTCAGCACTGCTACCCATAGACTCATCACTGCTACCCATAGACTCATGACTGCTACCCATAGACTCAGCACTGCTACCCAAAGACTCATCACTGCTACCCATAGACTCATCACTGCTACCCATAGACTCAACACTGCTACCCATAGACTCAGCACTGCTACCCATAGACTCAACACTGCAATAGACTCAGCACTGCTACCCATAGACTCAGCACTGCTACCCATAGACTCAGCACTGCTACCCATAGACTCAGCACTGCCATAGACTCATCACTGCTACCCATAGACTCAACACTGTCATAGACTCAACACTGCCATAGACTCAGCACTGCTACCCATAGACTCAGCACTGCCATAGACTCAGCACTGCTACCCATAGACTCAGCACTGCTACCCATAGACTCAGCACTGCCATAGACTCAGCACTGCTACCCATAGACTCAGCACTGCTACCCATAGACTCAGCACTGCTACCCATAGACTCAGCACTGCTACCCATAGACTCAGCACTGCTACCCATAGACTCAGCACTGCTACCCATAGACTCAGCACTGCTACCCTTAGACTCAACATTGCTACCCATAGACTCAACACTGCCATGGACTCAGCACTGCTACCCATAGACTCAACACTGCTACCCATAGACTCAGCACTGCCACCCATAGACTCAACACTGCCATAGACTCAGCACTGCTACCCATAGACTCAGCACTGCCATAGACTCATCACTGCTACCCATAGACTCAGCACTGCTACCCATAGACTCAGCACTGCTACCTATAGACTCAGCACTGCTACCCATAGACTCAGCACTGCTACCCATAGACTCAGCACTGCTACCCATAGACTCAGCACTGCTACCCATAGACTCAGCACTGCTACCCATAGACTCAGCACTGCTACCCATAGACTCAGCACTGCTACCCATAGGCTCAGCGCTGCTACCCATAGACTCAGCACTGCTACCCATAGACTCAGCACTGCCATAGACTCATCACTGCTACCCATAGACTCAGCACTGCTACCCAAAGACTCATCACTGCTACCCATAGACTCATCACTGCTACCCATAGACTCAGCACTGCTACCCATAGACTCAACACTGCCATAGACTCAGCACTGCTACCCATAGACTCAGCACTGCTACCCATAGACTCAGCACTGCTACCCATAGACTCAGCACTGCTACCCATAGACTCAGCACTGCCATAGACTCATCACTGCTACCCATAGACTCAACACTGCCATAGACTCAGCACTGCCATAGACTCAGCACTGCTACCCATAGACTCATCACTGCTACCCATAGACTCATGACTGCTACCCATAGACTCAGCACTGCTACCCAAAGACTCATCACTGCTACCCATAGACTCATCACTGCTACCCATAGACTCAACACTGCTACCCATAGACTCAGCACTGCTACCCATAGACTCAACACTGCAATAGACTCAGCACTGCTACCCATAGACTCAGCACTGCTACCCATAGACTCAGCACTGCTACCCATAGACTCAGCACTGCCATAGACTCATCACTGCTACCCATAGACTCAACACTGTCATAGACTCAACACTGCCATAGACTCAGCACTGCTACCCATAGACTCAGCACTGCCATAGACTCAGCACTGCTACCCATAGACTCAGCACTGCTACCCATAGACTCAGCACTGCCATAGACTCAGCACTGCTACCCATAGACTCAGCACTGCTACCCATAGACTCAGCACTGCTACCCATAGACTCAGCACTGCTACCCATAGACTCAGCACTGCTACCCATAGACTCAGCACTGCTACCCATAGACTCAGCACTGCTACCCTTAGACTCAACATTGCTACCCATAGACTCAACACTGCCATGGACTCAGCACTGCTACCCATAGACTCAACACTGCTACCCATAGACTCAGCACTGCCACCCATAGACTCAACACTGCCATAGACTCAGCACTGCTACCCATAGACTCAGCACTGCCATAGACTCATCACTGCTACCCATAGACTCAGCACTGCTACCCATAGACTCAGCACTGCTACCTATAGACTCAGCACTGCTACCCATAGACTCAGCACTGCTACCCATAGACTCAGCACTGCTACCCATAGACTCAGCACTGCTACCCATAGACTCAGCACTGCTACCCATAGACTCAGCACTGCTACCCATAGACTCAACACTGCTACCCATAGCCTCAGCACTGCTACCCATAGGCTCAGCGCTGCTACCCATAGACTCAGCACTGCCATAGACTCATCACTGCTACCCATAGACTCAGCACTGCTACCCAAAGACTCATCACTGCTACCCATAGACTCATCACTGCTACCCATAGACTCAGCACTGCTACCCATAGACTCAACACTGCCATAGACTCAGCACTGCTACCCATAGACTCAGCACTGCTACCCATAGACTCAGCACTGCTACCCATAGACTCAGCACTGCTACCCATAGACTCAGCACTGCCATAGACTCAGCACTGCTACCCATAGACTCAGCACTGATACCCATAGACTCAGCACTGCTACCCATAGACTCAACACTGCTACCCATAGCCTCAGCACTGCTACCCATAGGCTCAGCGCTGCTACCCATAGACTCAGCACTGCTACCCATAGACTCAGCACTGCCATAGACTCATCACTGCTACCCATAGACTCAGCACTGCTACCCAAAGACTCATCACTGCTACCCATAGACTCATCACTGCTACCCATAGACTCATCACTGCTACCCAAAGACTCATCACTGCTACCCATAGACTCATCACTGCTACCCATAGACTCAGCACTGCTACCCATAGACTCAGCACTGCCATAGACTCAGCACTGCTACCCATAGACTCAGCATTGCTACCCATAGATTCAGCACTGCTACCCATAGACTCAGCACTGATACCCATAGACTCAGCACTGCTACCCATAGACTCAGCACTGCTACCCATAGACTCAGCACTGCCACAGACTCAGCACTGCTACCCATAGACTCAACACTGCTACCCATAGACTCAGCACTGCTACCCATAGACTCAGCACTGCCACAGACTCAGCACTGCTACCCATAGACTCAACACTGCTACCCATAGACTCAGCTCTGCTACCCATAGACTCAGCACTGCCACAGACTCAGCACTGCTACCTATAGACTCAACACTGCCATAGACTCAGCACTGCTACCCATAGACTCAGCACTGCCACCCATAGACTCAGCACTGCCATAGACTCAGCACTGCTACCCATAGACTCATCATTGCCCTAGACTCAACACTGCTACCCATAGACTCATCATTGCCCTAGACTCAGCACTGCTACCCATAGACTCATCATTGCCCTAGACTCAGCACTGCTACCCATAGACTCATCATTGCCCTAGACTCAACACTGCTACCCATAGACTCATCATTGCCCTAGACTCAGCACTGCTACCCATAGACTCAGCACTGCTACCCATAGACTCATCACTGCTACCCATAGACTCAACACTGCTACCCATAGACTCAGCACTGCTACCCATAGACCCAGCACTGCTACCCATAGACTCAACACTGCTACCCATAGACTCAGCACTGCTACCCATAGACCCAGCACTGCTACCCATAGACTCAGCACTGCTACCCATAGACTCAGCACTGCTACCCATAGACTCAGCACTGCTACCCATAGACTCACCACCGCCACACAAAGACCTCAACACACCTCGCTAAGACCGCCAGTGTCTCTCGACTCCGTGTCTCCCTCCTCCTCCTCCACCTGCTCCACCTCCTCCTCCACCTCCTCCTCCTCCTCCTCCACCTCCAGCAGCTCCGGGGGGTCCAGCAGGAGGAACTTCTTCATGCGGCGGAAGGAGACGTCGTCCAGGTAGTGGAGGGCGCGCTTGGCCCGTGCCACCAGCAGCCGCAGCACCGCTCCGGGATCCGGGCCCACAGCATCTCTCCTCACAAAGTCGTGCTGGGGTGGGTGGGTGGGGAGGTGTGGGTGGGGGGGTAGGGGGGGTGGGGGGGGGGGGTGGGGGGTGAGTGGGGGGGTGAGTGGGTGGGTGAGTGGGGGGGTGAGTGGATGAGTGGGGGGTGAGTGGGGGGATGAGTGGAGGGGTGAGTGGGAGGGTGAGTGGGGGATTGAGTGAGTGGGTGGTTGGGTGAGTGGATGAGTGGGTGAGTTGGTGGGTGAGTGGGAGGGTGAGTGGGTGGTTGGGTGAGTGGATAGTTGGGTGGGCGGATGAGTGGGTGAATGGGTGGGTGAGTGGGGGGGTGAGTGGGAGGGTGAGTGGATGGTTGGGTGAGTGGATGAGTGGGTGAATGGGTGGGTGAGTGGGGGGGTGAGTGGGGGGGTGAGTGGGGGGGTGAGTGGGGGCGTGAGTGGAGGGGTGAGTGGGGGGGTGGGTTGGTGAGTGAGTGGGTGGGTAAGTGGGGGGGGGGGGGGGGGTGGGTGAGTGGTGGGTGAGTGAGTGGGTGGGTCGGAGGGTGAGTGGGTGATGGGGTGGGTGAGTGGGTGATGGGGTGATTGAGTGGGTGGGTGAATGAGTGGCTGGTTGGGTGGGTGAGTGGGCGGGGGGGGGGGTGAGTGGTGGGTGAGTGAGTGGGTGGGTGGGTGGGAGGGTGAATGGGTGATGGGGTGGTTGAGTGGGTGGGTGAATGAGTGGGTGGGTGGGTGAGTGGGTGGGTAGGTGAGTGGCTGGGTAGGTGAGTGTATGAGTCTGAGTGAGTCTGTGTGAGTCTCTGGGTCTCTGTGTGAGTCTCCGAGTGAGTCTCCGAGTGAGTCTGTGTGAGACTCTGAGTGAGTCTCTGAGTGCGTCTCTGAGTGAGTCTCTGTGTGAGTCTCCGAGTGAATCTCTGACTGAATCTCCGAGTCTCTGAGTGAGTCTCTGAGTGAGTCTCTGTGTGTGTCTCTGAGTGAGTCTCTGAGTGAGTCTCTGAGTGAGTCTCTGTGCGAGTCTGAGTGAGTGTCTTAGTGAGTCTCTATATGAGACTGTGAGTGAGTCTCTGTGCGAGTCTCTGAGTGAGTCTATGTGTAAGTCTATGTGCGAGTCTCTGTGCGAGTCTCTGAGTGAGTCTATGTGTGAGTCTCTGAGTCTCTGTGTGAGTCTCTGAGTGAGTGTGTGAGTCTATGTGTGAGTCTCTGAGTGAGTCTCTGAGTGAGTCTCTGAGTGAGTCTCTGTGCGAGTCTCTGTGTGAGTCTCTGAGTGAGTGTGTGAGTCTATGTGTGAGTCTCTGAGTGAGTCTCTGAGTGAGTCTCTGAGTGAGTCTCTGTGCGAGTCTCTGTGTGAGTCTCTGAGTCTCTGAGTAAGTCTCTAAACGAGTCTCTGAGTGAGTCTCTGTGTGCGTCTCTGAGTGAGTCTCTGAGTGAGTCTCTGTGTGCGTCTCTGAGTGAGTCTCTGAGTGAGTCTCTGTGCGAGTCTCTGAGTCCCTCACCTGTAGCAGCTGAGTGGAGGTGGACCTTTTGCTGGGGTTCTTCTCCAGGCACAACTCCACAAAGTGCGCAAACTCACCGCTCCTGAAAACACACACACACCTGTCTGAGAGCCTCTGTCTGCATGTGAGTGAGCTGCTAAGATTCTCGGCGCCTTTTTAAGCTGCCGGGTGAGAGAAGTGAGGCGCCTTGACAAAGGGGTTTACATATCAAACAGGAGAATTTCGCATTGAAATAGCTGAGGGATTAGCTTGTGACTGGTCACAGAAATAGCTGCGTTAAAGTCAAAGTTCACACATCCACAGAGGCACCTAGTAAAAATCAAACAGGAGAATTTAGCATTGAAATAGCTGAGGGATTAGTTTGTGACTGGTCACAAAAATGGCTATGTTAAAGTCAAAGTTTACACATCCACAGAGGCACCTAGTACAAATCACACAGGAGAATTTAGCATTGAAATAACTGAGGGATTAGCTTGACTGGTCATAGAAATAGCTATGTTAAAGTCAAAGTTTACACATCCACAGAGGCACCTAGTACAAATCAAACAAAAGAATTTAGCATTGAAATAGCTGAGGGATTAGCTTGTGACTGGTCACAGAAATGGCTATGTTAAAGTCAAAGCCTACACATCCACAGAGGCACCTAGTACAAATCAAACAGGAGAATTTATCATTGAAATAACTGAGGGATTAGCTTGTGACTGGTCACAGAAATAGCTGCGTTAAAGTCAAAGCCTACACATCCACAGAGGCACCTAGTACAAATCAAACAGGAGAATTTAGCATTGAAATAGCTGAGGGATTAGCTTGTGACTGGTCACAGAAATAGTTATGTTAAAGTCAAAGCCTACACATCCACAGAGGCACCTAGTACAAATTAAACAGGATAATTTAGCATTGAAATAGCTGAGTGATTAGCTTGTGACTGGTCAGAGAAATAGCTGCGTTAAAGTCAAAGCCTACACATCCACAGAGGCACCTTAGTACCAATCAAACAGGAGAATTTAGCATTGAAATAGCTGAGGGATTAGCTTGTGACTGGTCACAGAAATAGCTGCGTTAAAGTCAAAGCCTACACATCCACAGAGGCACCTAGTACAAATCAAACAGGAGAATTTAGCATTGAAATAGCTGAGGGATTAGCTTGTGACTGGTCACAGAAATAGTTATGTTAAAGTCAAAGCCTACACATCCACAGAGGCACCTAGTACAAATTAAACAGGAGAATTTAGCATTGAAATAGCTGAGTGATTAGCTTGAGACTGGTCAGAGAAATAGCTGCGTTAAAGTCAAAGCCTACACATCCACAGAGGCACCTAGAAACAAATCAAACAGGAGAATTTAGCATTGAAATAGCTGAGGGATTAGCTTGCGACTGGTCACAGAACTAGCTGCGTTAAAGTCAAAGCCTACACATCCACAGAGGCACCTAGTATAAATCAAACAGGAGAATTTAGCATTGAAATAACTGAGTGATTAGCTTGTGACTGGTCACAGAAATAGCTATGTTAAAGTCAAAGTTTACACATCCACAGAGGCACCTAATACAAATCAAACAGGAGAATTTAGCATTGAAATAGCCGAGGGATTAGCTTGCGACTGGTCACAGAACTAGCTGCGTTAAAGTCAAAGCCTACACATCCACAGAGGCACCTAATACAAATCAAACAGGAGAATTTAGCATTGAAATAGCTGAGTGATTAGCTTGTGACTGGTCACAGAACTAGCTGCGTTAAAGTCAAAGCCTACACATCCACAGAGGCACCTAGTATAAATCAAACAGGATAATTTAGCATTGAAAAAGCTGAGGGATTATCTTGTGACTGGTCACAGAACTAGCTGCGTTAAAGTCAAAGCCTACACATCCACAGAGGCACCTGGTACACATCAAACAGGAGAATTTAGCATTGAAATAACTGAGGGATTAGCTTGTGACTGGTCACAGAAATGGCTGCGTTAAAGTCAAAGTTTACACATCCACAGAGGCACCTTAGTACCAATCAAACAGGAGAATTTATCATTGAAATAACTGAGGGATTAGCTTGTGACTGGTCACAGAAATAGCTGCGTTAAAGTCAAAGCCTACACATCCACAGAGGCACCTAGTACAAATCAAACAGGAGAATTTAGCATTGAAATAGCTGAGGGATTAGCTTGTGACTGGTCACAGAAATAGTTATGTTAAAGTCAAAGCCTACACATCCACAGAGGCACCTAGTACAAATTAAACAGGATAATTTAGCATTGAAATAGCTGAGTGATTAGCTTGTGACTGGTCAGAGAAATAGCTGCGTTAAAGTCAAAGCCTACACATCCACAGAGGCACCTTAGTACCAATCAAACAGGAGAATTTAGCATTGAAATAGCTGAGGGATTAGCTTGTGACTGGTCACAGAAATAGCTGCGTTAAAGTCAAAGCCTACACATCCACAGAGGCACCTAGTACAAATCAAACAGGAGAATTTAGCATTGAAATAGCTGAGGGATTAGCTTGTGACTGGTCACAGAAATAGTTATGTTAAAGTCAAAGCCTACACATCCACAGAGGCACCTAGTACAAATTAAACAGGAGAATTTAGCATTGAAATAGCTGAGTGATTAGCTTGAGACTGGTCAGAGAAATAGCTGCGTTAAAGTCAAAGCCTACACATCCACAGAGGCACCTAGAAACAAATCAAACAGGAGAATTTAGCATTGAAATAGCTGAGGGATTAGCTTGCGACTGGTCACAGAACTAGCTGCGTTAAAGTCAAAGCCTACACATCCACAGAGGCACCTAGTATAAATCAAACAGGAGAATTTAGCATTGAAATAACTGAGTGATTAGCTTGTGACTGGTCACAGAAATAGCTATGTTAAAGTCAAAGTTTACACATCCACAGAGGCACCTAATACAAATCAAACAGGAGAATTTAGCATTGAAATAGCCGAGGGATTAGCTTGCGACTGGTCACAGAACTAGCTGCGTTAAAGTCAAAGCCTACACATCCACAGAGGCACCTAATACAAATCAAACAGGAGAATTTAGCATTGAAATAGCTGAGTGATTAGCTTGTGACTGGTCACAGAACTAGCTGCGTTAAAGTCAAAGCCTACACATCCACAGAGGCACCTAGTATAAATCAAACAGGATAATTTAGCATTGAAAAAGCTGAGGGATTATCTTGTGACTGGTCACAGAACTAGCTGCGTTAAAGTCAAAGCCTACACATCCACAGAGGCACCTGGTACACATCAAACAGGAGAATTTAGCATTGAAATAACTGAGGGATTAGCTTGTGACTGGTCACAGAAATGGCTGCGTTAAAGTCAAAGCCTACACATCCACAGAGGCACCTTAGTACAAATCAAACAGGAGAATTTAGCATTGAAATAGCTGAGGGATTAGCTTGTGACTGGTCACAGAAATAGTTATGTTAAAGTCAAAGCCTACACATCCACAGAGGCACCTAGTACAAATTAAACAGGATAATTTAGCATTGAAATAGCTGAGTGATTAGCTTGTGACTGGTCAGAGAAATAGCTGCGTTAAAGTCAAAGCCTACACATCCACAGAGGCACCTTAGTACCAATCAAACAGGAGAATTTAGCATTGAAATAGCTGAGGGATTAGCTTGTGACTGGTCACAGAAATAGCTGCGTTAAAGTCAAAGCCTACACATCCACAGAGGCACCTAGTACAAATCAAACAGGAGAATTTAGCATTGAAATAGCTGAGGGATTAGCTTGTGACTGGTCACAGAAATAGTTATGTTAAAGTCAAAGCCTACACATCCACAGAGGCACCTAGTACAAATTAAACAGGAGAATTTAGCATTGAAATAGCTGAGTGATTAGCTTGAGACTGGTCAGAGAAATAGCTGCGTTAAAGTCAAAGCCTACACATCCACAGAGGCACCTAGAAACAAATCAAACAGGAGAATTTAGCATTGAAATAGCTGAGGGATTAGCTTGCGACTGGTCACAGAACTAGCTGCGTTAAAGTCAAAGCCTACACATCCACAGAGGCACCTAGTATAAATCAAACAGGAGAATTTAGCATTGAAATAACTGAGTGATTAGCTTGTGACTGGTCACAGAAATAGCTATGTTAAAGTCAAAGTTTACACATCCACAGAGGCACCTAATACAAATCAAACAGGAGAATTTAGCATTGAAATAGCCGAGGGATTAGCTTGCGACTGGTCACAGAACTAGCTGCGTTAAAGTCAAAGCCTACACATCCACAGAGGCACCTAATACAAATCAAACAGGAGAATTTAGCATTGAAATAGCTGAGTGATTAGCTTGTGACTGGTCACAGAACTAGCTGCGTTAAAGTCAAAGCCTACACATCCACAGAGGCACCTAGTATAAATCAAACAGGATAATTTAGCATTGAAAAAGCTGAGGGATTATCTTGTGACTGGTCACAGAACTAGCTGCGTTAAAGTCAAAGCCTACACATCCACAGAGGCACCTGGTACACATCAAACAGGAGAATTTAGCATTGAAATAACTGAGGGATTAGCTTGTGACTGGTCACAGAAATGGCTGCGTTAAAGTCAAAGCCTACACATCCACAGAGGCACCTTAGTACCAATCAAACAGGAGAATTTAGCATTGAAATAGCTGAGTGATTAGCTTGCGACTGGGTCACAGAACTAGCTGCGTTAAAGTCAAAGCCTACACAATCCACAGAGGCACCTGGTACGTGGACGACAAAGGGGCTGCGCTACCCAACCATCGTGCAGTAAACCGATGTGACTTTACCGAATAGAACCCAAGGGCACGGATCCTTGCAGTCACGAAAGCTTCAAATCTACTTGAGGCTCGTCACCGTGACGAGTCAGGGCAAAGAGGGGTCAAGCCGAGGGTAGGCTCTCCCGACAAGCGAGAGAGCCGAGGATGGTACGAGGCGAGTGGTCGGGGTCCGGGGTAAGCGACCGAGATAGGGAAGCGGCCCACCTCTGGCGCGGCGAGCTTAAGAGCGGTGAACGTAACGGTGTCCATGACCGGCAACAGCCCGCACGGTGCAGGGCCTTTCAAAAGAAGCGCGCCCGATTCGAAATCGCTACCGACAGCGGAAACCTGGGATTGCGA